TTATATAGGTCCCCAGGTTATTCCTATGTCTAAGTCACCCTGTGCACATTGTAGGTGCATGGAGTGTATAATGTATTTGTTTATTGTTAAATGCTTTGTGTGCTCTCTTGTCCTGCTGATGTTCTCTACCAACTAGGTGGATTCGGCTCTGGAGCCTGTACAGCGCCATCTGTTGGTTGTGAGGATCCTGAAACAGCTACATGCACTACCTGAATAGCAAGGCTTGTTAATTTGCATATTCAGGTAGATCTGCATATAATGAATTCTGCAGGCAGGGGATATGTTTCTTTTTAGTTATTGTTTTACCCAATCCCTTTATAAATATGTTAATGTGCTATTATGAGTTCCTGTATGTTTTCCAAAATGATTTGGTTATAAGTATTGTATTGTGTTTGTCACCATAAGTTTACTGTGATGCTCATTGTAACATTATAGTCCTGAGTAAACATAAAGCTTTGTATATTAGTTCTTTTTAGAACTTTGTGTCCTGGTTGATTTATTAAGGGATCCTAGTAAGAGAGTATTCAGACTTGTTGCCTGGCTGCATGGTCCCTGTGTCGTGGGACAAATCAAAAGAGAGCTAGACCTGAGAGCCACAAGTGCCTTTGTAAAGGCAGTAGCTGGTCACAGTGCTTGCTGAGATGTGGCTACCTCCCTGGGAAAGGAGCTGCATAGAAATAGGCAGAGTGGACGATACCTGCCTGGAAGGAGAGCTGCAGAGGAATAGGCAGAGGAGACGATACCTGCCTGGAAGGAGAGCTGCAGAGGAATAGGTAGAGGGGACGATACCTGCCTGGAAGGAGCGAGCTGCAGACTAATAGGCAGAGGGGACGATACCTGCCTGGAAGGAGAGAGAGCTACAGAGAAATAGGCAGAGGGGACGATACCTGCCTGGAAGGAGAGAGAGCTACAGAGAAATAGGCAGAGGGGACGATACCTGCCTGGAAGGAGAGAGAGCTGCAGAGGGGACGATACCTGCCTGGAAGGAGAGAGAGCTGCAGAGGGGACGATACCTGCCTGGAAGGAGAGAGAGCTGCAGAGGGGACGATACCTGCCAGGAAGGAGGGGGCTGCAGTCTGTTCGGGTAGTAGAGTTCCTGAGAGACCTCAGTCAAGCTTCGGTGACTGGGGCTGGAGTGCTCCAGGGTCCCCTGTGGCAGCGAGGAAGCGGACTCGGCGAAGGTACTAGGTCAGAGTACGGGAGCTCCATCACAGCACTTTATTATTCCTACACTGTGCCATTATAAAGAAAAATACTAATTTCCATGCCATTCATAGACACCGTTACAAGTTAAAGAATAATTTCCAAGTGGCAGTATCCATTTAATTATCCAGTGATCTAATAACGGGAGCTGACGTGGGGCTCCGTCTCACCTTTGTGCTGGCGGCTGCCTTTACCTCCACATGTGGGGACAGACTCAGTGGGAGGGCGTGATGTTGGCTTGCTCCTCATTGGCTGGTGGTAGGAATCCCATTCTCGGATTGGCTGAAGCGAGCAAGATACGGTTTCAAGCAGACTGAGCAAGGTGAATGTGGCTGCCAGGCCCCCCGGAACAAGAGGAATAGAGGGGGCCCAGTAGCATTCACGACCTCAGCGACTCCTCTAGATTGCGCCCTAGGCAGCATTGGGGCCTAGACGGTAGCCTAGTTTGCCTAGCGGTAACACTGGCTCCCACTGTGTATTTATAGTAAGTGTAGATATATGGATTCATGGCAGTTTATGTAAACGTGTGTGTTTACTTTTGTGTTTATAAATGCGTGTGCCTTTTCTGTATACATGTGTTAAAACTCAGCAGTAATACTCCCAGTGCTGATAGGAACTCCTAAGTTGGGAGACTGGATTCAGAATATTCCTGATGGGAAGTCTGAGATCGATGTGCAAAAGAGTGCAGTTCAAGGAACAGCTAAAAATACAGCACAGAACTCCCAGACTCCCAGCCTCTGCGAGAGGACCTGAGAATGAGGAATAAACATACCACCCAGAGGGGTGAGAGAGTAACACGTGCTTCTCAAAATTATTCAACACAAACAGCTGCCTCAGTTTTGGATGAAGAATCATCTTATCGCTCGAGTACCTTCTACTGAGCGCAGAATGAAGGAATGACTTCACAGCCAGCTTGTCTTCCGGAACAAGAGGGCAGCAGCCAGCCTTGGCAGCCTCAAAAACCCCCGGCAGACTGCCCCTGATAAATGGAGGGGGAATTCTTATTGTTAATAAAGCACTAACAGCATCCACAGTGCTATACGATGGAATCTGACACCAAAACTGACTTTTCTGCATTTAATTTTCTTCAAACGACAGACAGCTGATAAAATAGCTGGAATTTTACTGAACCGTCTCTCAATAACTCAAACACAGAGGTAGGTAGGTACTCTGGTACCCAGGAGGAAAGTGTCCATCCTCGGCTGGTTTATACGGTGCATAGAAAAATGCAGAATCAAACACCGGATATTTTTCTTATTAATATCATTGATATAGCGCCAACATGTTCCGCAGCGTGTTACAATGTTATAAGGGGGGAGGGATTAAACAAATATATATACATCATCGATACCAACCCCTACTTTATCCTGCAGTCATATATTTAATGCTATTCTTCAGGATTCTGGAATTAGGACTGTCCCATATATGACACAGGAGGGTATTGCTTTAAACCAGATGATATGAATTCAATAAACACTCTGGGATCATTATAACGCAGGTTGCAGTGAGGTTTGTTTGTGTGAATTCGGGATCGTTGTAAACCAGTCACGCTTGTCCCCAGTCTTCTTAAGATACATCACTCATTAACCACTTTTACTCAGTACTCAGAGGCTGGATTCGTGCTAATCCCATTCCTTTTTCACAAATATAAACCAGAGTAAGACACAAAATGTACCAAGATCCCCGTCTGACCGGGAACAAACTGTTACAAGAACATAATTATATCAGCAGGGTAACTCCACCATTTACCATCTGTTACATTATATAAACTGGATAACAATGAGCACCTGCCCAACAAGACACATCTAGAATGAATACTCAGGGCAATAAAGGCTGCTCGCGGCTCTCTGTGTGGAAGGGGATTGCAGTGAAAATCTCGGGTTATAGAGTAAGTCCGTGACTGATAATACTTGCTAAGTGGCTTGTGAATAAAATATTGGTGGAGCACACCTGTGCTGGCTGGCATTGAGGGAATCGGCAGTATTGATGAAAACATTGGCTAGACATAATACACAGTGATTTTTCTAAATGACTGGCTCCGATGGTATCAAAGATATAGTGATCTGCCACACAGCGCAGGTGGTAACTGAACCTCGATTTCATATTTCTGGATTTTTAAGCATTTCAAATGATTTAATATTTTTGCATAAACTTTTACAATTGTGTTTTAAAAAAAATATATATCATATAAAAAAAATATTTAACGCTCTTTGACAAACTCCTCTTTCCACGTGACATAAGTTTGCCATGAGTTCCTGGAGGAGCCTGCTTGCCAGCCTTCTGCCCAAAGACTCGTTTCCCACAAGTTCCTGGAGGAGCCTGCTTGCCAGCCTCCTGCCCACAGACAATGGGCCTTGTAATATACACTGAAAAGTCTCCATTCATGTATTTGGACTATATGGTTTGATAACTGAACAGCCGCTCGAACCGGAGACCTCCCTGGAGCTTGTTAAGCCTAATTGCTACTTTGTAACAATTTCCACCTCAGTGTTCTAAGTGTTCGTCTGGGTGGCCACAATTCCTATGGACGACCACGAAGTAGTGGATGCATGGAATAGCCTTCCAGCTGAAGTGGTAGAGGTTAACACAGTAAAGGAGTTTAGGCATGCGTGGGATAGGCATAAGGCTATCCTAACTATAAGATAAGGCTAGGGACTAATGAAAGTATTTAGAAAGTTGGGCAGACTAGATGGGTCGAATGGTTCTTATCTGCCGTCACATTCTATGTTTCTATGTTTCTATGTGGTGGCCATCTTGTTCGCATGAACACAGGCAGCGATGTTTGGTCGTCGAGTTCATAGAACTATTTTCCGACACTGAAACTCCCGAACACCGCTAGACATCCATGATCGCCTGTGTTCGGTTTTATAATATTTAGGAAGACACTGTTCAGTGGAAACATTACCACGAACAAGGGGAACAAGCTTCAGGGTAAGAATATTGACTGTGACAGAACCGTCTGTCTTTGGGTTATGTTTCTCCTCCCTCCATTCGCCTGTTTGTACGATTGTTTCTTTGACCGTGCAGTCCCCTTATTTTCCTGTATTGTTTCCCGAAAGACTACCGAATACGCGACCACCAGGAAGTTGGCGTATGCCATCAATTGACCACCCAATATCTGTGGTTAACCGCAGCTTAATTGACTGTTACTGGGTGGTCGCGGCTACACCTTGCTGCCACACGATGGCGGTGTTATGGAGCTCCCCGGACAACCAGCGGTGCTCTGCCCAGCTTCAGTACACTTTTCTTCCCAAGCACAGCTGAGCTACCAGCCTTCGGGTCTTCAGTTCCGTTCGTAAACCGAACGGCGGAGCATTCGGGACTTTGTGTTTTATATTGTACTATACGTGAGGTCACCCGGATAGCTATGCCATGGAGCCTGTTCGTGGAATTAAAGACTTTGGCTCCATGGTGATTAAACTGTATTCGTGTTGTCTGAGCGCCTTTCACCTAATAGTGTGCGCTCAGACTTGAGCTATCTGGGGGTATGTTACATGCAGGGCCGGCGCGTCCATAAGGCGGCACAGGTGGCCGCCTTAGGGCGCACCGGCTCTGGGGGTGCAAAATTCCAGTGAGTGGCAGGAGGGAAGTGCTCCCTCCTGCCAGGTCACCTCCTGGATCCCCGGCGCGGCGGGTGGTCCAGTGGGTGGTCCAGTGGTCCAGTGGGGCTGCTGGGAGGCGTGCGGCTGAATTGGATTCCGAGGTGGCGAGGGAGCTCTGATCTCTCTGATCTGCTCCCTCGCAGGCTGTTTACTGATGACGTCATATTTCGGCTCCCGCGGAAAAAGCTCACTGTACCAGGATTCGCTCCGCTCAGCCACGCTACAAGAAAGGTAGGAGGCACACCAGGAAGGGCAGGGGACCACTATGGGGGTGGGTGGCGCACCAAGGGACAGGGAGAGGAGGGGAGAGATACCCTAAGGTACAGGAAAAGGAGGGAGGGAGAGGAACACTAAGAGACAGGGAACAGAGGAGGGAGGGGAGAGGAACACTAAGGGACAGGGAAAGGAGGGGGGAAGGGAAAGGAACACTGAGGAACAGGTAAAGGAGGAGAGAGGGGAGAGGAACAGTAAGGGTCAGAGAAGGGAGGGGACCATTAAGGGACGGGGAGAGGGGCTGGATGTGAAAGAAACACACAGCGGGGCTTGAGAAGGAAAGAGAGATACACAAAGGAGCTGGGAAGAATAAAAAACACAAGGGGCTGGGAGAAAAGGAGTCACACAAAGGGGCTGGGAGGAGTAAGACACAAAATGTGGGAGGATGTAAGAGTCATACAAAGAGGAGAGATAGGAGACACACAAAGGCAAAAATAGGAGATAAAATACACTAAAGGGAGTCAGATATTTAAAAGACGGGATAAGAAACACAAAAGGGAGGTTAAGAGGCACATGGGTGAAGATGTTTTTGGGGTGGTGGAAAAATGCATCTTCGCCTATGTACCCAAAATTCTTTGCACCGGCCCTGGTTACATGTCTATATATATTGTAACATTTGTAACACTGTACATTTTAAAGTAATTCTCTATCCTGTAGCCCCCACGTGCATAATGGCGATTTGCCTTTGTCCTGGGAGATAATTGAATTACTTCTCAATTATCTCCAGGGCAGAGAGGAGGAAGCCAGGATGCATTGTGGGGATGTATTATGACTGTTTGTCCTGACCTGATACCTGTCTGTCTCCCATTTGGTCTTCTAGGGGAGTGTCCACCAGGTGGGAGACCTGCATACATACGGGCAGGTAGCCCTCATTAAAGCCAGATCTTGTTTTACCCTCAATACGGAGCTTGGTCTCGTGATTGGGGGGATTTACTAAACGCGGTTAGAGACTGATTGCTGGAAGTGTAAGCTGCTTGGATGCTGTGCCTGCTCTTTGGTTAGCAGATATTAGTGAGATTACCGTTCGGGAGTTTGGAGTACTACTGGGTACACCGTTCGGGAGTTAGGTGCATTCCCCTGGTTCCAGTTCGGGAGTTTGTGGTTTTACAGTAACTGTGCCTATACCTCTGCAAGGGGAAGTTCTACTAAACGGCGGTTTAACTCCTTTATGTTGGGAGTGCGGTAACATTGACTATGTTCAGTAGTTTGTTTGGTTTTAAACTACTGAACTAGGCCGACCGCTAGCCTTGATTTTATGGAACTGGTTTGGGCAGGAGCCTCGTGTGCGGTCAGTCAAATTAAGACTTCCATGAAATTCCCGAACCCATGAACCGATCTGGGTGATTTTTTGATATGTTGGTCACCCAGATCGGGGCTATCAAGGGTTTTTATGTATTTTTAAGGTACTTTTGTTTTTTTGTGAAATGTGTGTGTTTTTTGTGCCTGGAGACAATTGAGTTTTGTACAGTTCCTGACTCAATTATCTCCCAGGCATAGGGTAGCGATTATCCTGTTTTCTGTGGGAGTGTCATGGGTGCATGGGCGTCCGCAGGAATTTTTCCAGGGGGGGGCATAATTGTAATGACATCCATGCTTGGTACCTTTTTGACAGTGTCGTGAAAGGGAAGGGGCATAGCCATTATCACATAAAGCCAGGGTGAATAGCGCTTTCACAACTATGGTGTCAGGAATATATGTTTGTATTCCTGACACTATAGTGTTCCTTTAAGCAAATTAAAGGACATTTCTGGTCACCATAACAACTTCACCTAAATGAAAATGCTATGATGCCAGGAAGCCCCTGGGTGCTCGCTTTCCTTTAAGGGGTTAAATCGCTCTCAAATGGTTTAACCCCAAAGGCTTCCTCCAGCTCCAGGTCGCTCAGTGGTATTTGGCTTCTGAAACAGAGTGTCAGGAAGTGCAGATTGGCGTCAGGCATGGGTGCCGCTGATTGGCTAGAGTGGTCAGTTGACGCTCTAAGCCAATCGCTAGTTCCCGGTTCATAAAATATTTTTACTTTTTTATGAATGGGGAGCTACTGATTGGCTTAGAGTGCCAGCTGACCGCTCTAGCCAATCAGCAACACCCCTACCCAACGGCACTCTGTGCTTCCTGACACTCAGTAAATAAAAGTGAACACATTAATACTGATATTTTTTTACCTTTGGAGATGAGAAGGTCCAGCGTTTCCCTGCCAGGCCCAGGTACCAAAGCCTTATGATGTGGTGTCCAGAATAAAGTGGAGGGTTGACTTCATTTGTCCTTCCTGCTCCAATCTCCTTTTCCTCTCCTTCATTTGACAGTCTTTTTTTTTCTTCTGACACTGTTTTCTATCCTTGGCCCCTTCTGCTCTTTTACCTTTCTGCTACTTTCTGCTTATTTTGCGCCCTTCTGCTCCTTTCTCATTCTGATCCCTTTCTGCTCCTTGCAGACCCTTTCTGCTCCCTTTTCTACTTTACCTTTGTGCTCCTTGCTGTCCCTTTCTGCTCTTTCTCCTACTTTACCTTTGTGCTCCTTCTGATTCTTTCTGCTCCTTTACCTGCTCCTTGCAGGCCCTTCCTGCTCATTCTCCTACTTTATGTTTGTGCTCCTTCTGCCCCTTCCAGCTCATTTCTGACCCTTTCTGCTCCTTCTACTTTACCTTTGTGCTGCTTTACCTTCCAGCTCCTTGCTGACCCTTCCTGTTCATTTCTATATATCTATAGGCTGCTGCCCCCCCAAATCTATGGGCTGCTGCCCCCCTCCCCAAATCTATGGGCTGCTGCCCCCCCAAATCTATGGGCTGCTGCCCCCAAATCTAAAGGCTGCTGCCCCCCCCCAAATCTATGGGCTGCTGCCCCTCATATAGGCTGCTGCCCCCAAATCTATTTGCTGCTGCCCCCTATCTGCTGCTGCCCCCCAAATCTATCTGCTGCTGCCATCTATGGGCTGCTGCCCCTGGGCACACCCTAATCCCTGCGGCACGCCAATGGATTGAGACCGGCAGGGGAGATCTCTGGATCTCCCCGGTCGGCTCATGCAGAGCCGACGCTATCCAAGCGGCGGCTCTGGTCTAAGCCTCCATGGGCCGGTGGGGAGATCAAAGTTCTACCTCACCGGTCCACAGCAGCATGGAGGGAGGCAGCAGAGAACCCGGGCTAGAGTTCACTCTACACTGAACCACCAGGGAAGGCCGCAGGACTGATATTAACTAATCTGCCGCCACTCCACCCAAACATACAGCACACACACACCCACAGTACCTACACACAGCACACACAGCCCACAAACAGCACCCACACACATACTTCACCCTCGCACACACAGCACCCAGCACACTAACAGTATCCTCACAAACACACAAAACCCACACACAACACCCGCACAGCACCCATACACAAACAGCACACTCACACACAAACAGCACATTAAACTGATAAAAATAGTACTAAACACACCACTCCTATCTGGTGTCACATTAGCTTGACCGCGCAGTGCCACCCTGACAAACACAAAACACCCACACACAGCACACAAACAGCACACTAACAGGACCCGAACAAACACGCACACACAAACACCCTCACTCCCCTAATCTATAGGCTGATGCCCCCCCCAGCCTCACTCCCCTAATCTATAGGCTGCTGCCCGCCCCCAGCCTCACTCCCCTAATCTATAGGCTGCTGCCCCCCACTCCCCTAATCTATAGGCTGCTGCCCCCCCTCACTCCCCTAATCTATAGGCTGCTGCCCCCCCTTACTCCCCTAATCTATAGGATGCCCCCCCTTACTCCCTAATCTATAGGCTGCTGCCCCCCCAAATCTATAGGCTATCTCAAACCCTCCCTCCCCATCCCCCACTTACCTGATCTGTAGGCTGTCTCTGGCTGCATGTGTTGTTCCCCTGCGGTTTCAATCAGCAGAGAGAAGCAGGGATAAGATGCAGCTTCCTATCCCTGTCTCTCTCCATACACAGCACCACCTACTGGCCGGCGCCGGTATTGCAGTTCATTTTAAATTTCACATGAAAAATATCAGAACAAGCTGAAAAATCCAGGGGGGGGGGCAAGTGCCCCCCCTTACCCCCCTTGCGGACGCCCATGGTTGGGGCATACATGCTAAACAGAATGACATGCTACCTTCTATTAGTTTTGTGCAGAGCAGACATTTGTCATCACCAACACCATCTTCCAGCAAAAAAATTGTATGAAGACAACTTGGATACAGGCTTGGTCCAAACATTGGCACCTTAAAGATTACATCATGGTGCACCAAAGAGACGTACAAGAAATCTTACACATTCGAGTAGGAGCCCATCGCAGAGTGTCATACGCACCATCGTCTTGTAAGAAGTAAGCTATGTATCCACTTAAAACCCAAACTGGGAGGGCAGAGCCTGATCTGCAAGCTGAGCAGTCGCATGTTAGAGGGGCTCCCAATATACATGCTGATTTTATGAAAATTCTCCTCAACACAAAGCTTGACAATATGCTACCCAAGTTGGGGTCACCCTGGTCAATATGCATAAGGCTATCCTAGATATAAGGTAAGGCCAGGGACTAATGAAAGTATTTAAAAAATTGGGCACACTTGATGGACTGAATGGTTCTTATATACCGTCACATCCTATGTTTCTATGTTTCTATCAATTGTATGGACAAGAATCTGTTGCAATGGTCCAACATTATCTGCTGCTTCTGGTCGCTTGTACTTGTTTTGACATGAAATTGTGATTTCATTTCGTGCTTACATTCACTTGCATGCTACGTTAAAATAAACACATGTTACAGATGTTGTGAATATGTGCAAAATATCTAACTGTGATAAAACTTTAAAAATATCCAAGATAATACAGGGAGTGCAGAATTATTAGGCAAATTAGTATTTTGACCACATCAATCTCTTTATGCATGTTGTCTTACTCCAAGCTGTATAGGCTCGAAAGCCTACTACCAATTAAGCATATTAGGTGATGTGCATCTCTGTAATGAGAAGGGGTGTGTCTAATGACATCAACACCCTATATCAGGTGTGCATAATTATTAGGCAACTTCCTTTCCTTTGGCAAAATGGGTCAAAAGAAGGACTTGACAGGCTCAGAAAAGTCAAAAATAGTGAGATATCTTGCAGAGGGATGCAGCACTCTTAAAATTGCAAAGCTTCTGAAGCGTGATCATCGAACAATCAAGCGTTTCATTCAAAATAGTCAACAGAGGTCGCAAGAAGCGTGTGGAAAAACCAAGGCGCAAAATAACTGCCCATGAACTGAGAAAAGTCAAGCGTGCAGCTGCCACGATGCCACTTACCACCAGTTTGGCCATATTTCAGAGCTGCAACATCACTGGAGTGCCCAAAAGCACAAGGTGTGCAATACTCAGAGACATGGCCAAGGTAAGAAAGGCTGAAAGACGACCACCACTGAACAAGACACACAGCTGAAACGTCAAGACTGGGCCAAGAAATATCTCAAGACTGATTTTTCTAAGGTTTTATGGACTGATGAAGTAAAAGGCGGAGTGCGTGGGCCGGGTGGATGGAAGCCCGTGAAACGGATTGGTAAAGGGCAGAGAGCTCCAGTCCGACTCAGACGCCAGTAAGGTGGAGGTGGAGTACTG